TTTCTGTTCTTGTGTCAGTTTGCTGAGGATGACGTTCTCCAGATTCATCCATGTCCCTACAAACGACACAAACTCATCATTTCTGATTGCTGCATAATATTCCATGGTGTATATGTGCCACATTTTTCCAATCCAGTCTATTATCAATGGGCATTTTGGTTGATTCCAGGTCTTTGCTATTGTAAACAGTGCTGCAATGAACATTCGTGTACATGTGTCCTTATAGTAGGACATAGGAGTAGGCAAGGACTTTATGAACAAAACACCAAAAGCATTGGCAACAAAAGCCAAAATAGACAAATGGGACCTAATGAAACTCCACAGCTTCTGCACGGCAAAAGAAACAGTCACTAGAGTGGATCGGCAACCAACAGAATGGGAAAAAATTTTCGCAGTTTACCCATCTGACAAAGGGCTGATATCCAGAATTTACAAACAACTCAAACGGATTTACAGGAAAAAAACAAACAAGCCCATTCAAAAGTGGGCAAAGGATATGAACAGACACTTTACGAAAGAAGACATATATGAGGCCAACAATCATATGAAAAAATGCTCATCATCACTGGTCATCAGAGAGATGCAAATCAAAACCACATTGAGATACCATCTCACGCCAGTTAGAATGGCGATCATTAAAAAATCTGGAGACAACAGATGCCGGAGAGGATGTGGAGAAAAAGGAACACTTTTACACTCTTGGTGGGAGTGTAAATTAGTTCAACCATTGTGGAAGACAGTGTGGCGATTCCTCAAGGCCTTAGAAATAGAAATTCCATTTGACCCAGCAATCCCATTACTGGGTATATATCCAAAAGACTATAAATCGTTCTACTATAAGGACACATGCACACGAATGTTCATTTTGTTCCTTTTTTAAAACCAGTGAACATTCATTGAGCATTTACCTTATGCCAGCCACAGCACTAACCTCTGGAAATTGCAAATTGAATAACATGTAGGTCTGCCCTGGACAAACTCATAGTTGAGGAGATGTGTAAACCAGTGGGTCTTGCATGCCCAGTGCTATTATTGGAGGTGTGGCTAGCTGTTCAGGAAGCATTCTAGAGGTTGGAGATGGTTTGGAGATGTTTCTTAGGGAAGGAGTTGGCCACATACACTTGCTAGAATTAGTTTTCCCATATTAAAAACAGTTTTAAAAAGATTTCCTAGCATTTACCTTTCTGTTTGTGAACCTACAGTGGCCTCTGAGAGCCACTACTGTTTCTGTCTCCTCTGGCTTGCCACCTGCTTTTGTCAGTACTTCCCAACTGCTTTCAAACCAAGGGCACCTAGAGACAACCCCTTAAAGATGACTCCTATATCCTGGCTTCTCTGTCCAGGTACCTGCTATTCTTTCCTCCTAAGAACATTCTCGTACAAAGTCATCTTCTCTGTGATCCACATTGTGTTCCCTTTAAAGTCTGAATTGATATGTTTCTAGGTACCTTTTCTCTTTGGATGCATATGACTAAATCTTAATAATTATTTCTTCCCCTCAGATGTATACTTTTCACCATTATAGATCAGAATTTTCATATTGTCACATAATGTTCAAATGTTTCCTTTAGGCCAGTTTTGTAACTATTTAACATGACTTTTCTAACCTGTAGTGGTTTATATTAGATAATGTGTATTTATTGTGTTATTTTAAAATCACTTATACCCTACGTTGTTGTTTTAAGAGTTACTGTTTTTTAAACTAGTTTTAGGTTCACAATAAAATTAAAAAGAAGTTACAGAGTTCTCAAACACCTCCTGTCCCCACATATGCTCCCCTGTTATCAATATCTCCCACTGGAGTGGGTACATCTCTTACAATCGATGAACCTAATCAACATGTCATAATCACCTAAAGTCCATAGTTTACACTATGGGCTCACCCTTGGTATTGTGTATCTTATGGGTTTGGGTAATTTAATAATGACATGTGTCCACCATTATAGTATCATTCAGACTAATTTCATTGCCCTAATAATCCTATGTGCTCTTCCTGTTTGTTTCTTCCCTCCACACTGATCCCTGGCAACCACTAATGTTTTTATTGTCTCCATAGTTTTGCCTTTAGTTGGAATCATAAAGAATTTGGCTTTTTCAGATTGTTTTCCTTAACTTAATTTTATGCATATAAGGTTCCTCCATGTCTTTTCATGGCTTGACAGCTCATTTCATTCTAGTGCTAAATAATATTCCATTGTTTGGATATACCACAGTATTATTTTCCTTCCTCTATGGAAGGACATCTTGGTTGCTTCTAAGTTGTGGCAATTATGAATAAAGCTGCTATAAACATCTGTATGTAGGTTTATGAGTGGACATAAGTTTTCAACTTCTTTGGGTAAATACCAAAGAGTGTGATTGCTGGATGGTATGGTAAGAACATGTTTAGTTTTGTAAGAAATTGCCAAACTGTCTTCTAGAGTGACTGTACCATTTTATATTCTCACAGCAATGAATGAGATGTCCTGTTGCCAGCATTTGGTCTTGTCAGTTTTACAGATTTTGGCTATCCTAATAAATGTGTAGAGTATTTTATTTTTGTTTCAATTTGCATTTCTCTGGTGTCTGATGTGAAGCATCTTTTCATGTATATATTTGCCATCTGTATATCATCTTTGGTGATGTGTCTGTAAAAGTGATTGGCCCATTTTTTTTTAAGTCAGCTTATTTTCTTATTGTTGAGTTTTAAGAGTTCTTTGTATATTTTGGATAACAATCCTTTATCAGATATGTATTTTACAAATATTTTCTCCCAGTCTGTGGCCTGTCGTCTTATTCTCTTTGTATTATCTTTCACAGAGTAGCAGATTTTTAATCCATCATATCCATTATTTTTTTCATGGATCTTGTCTTTGGTGCTATATCTAAAACATCACTGCCATCTAGATTTTTTTTCTATGCTATCTTCTAGAAGTTTTTAAATTTTGTGTTCCTGCAATGTTTCATAAACAATTTTAAGTACTCCTGATCTAGATTTGAACTCTGTTCTGTCACATTCTGTCAGTGTGACCTCGGGCAAGGCACTCAGCCACCTGGAGTCTCAGCCTTTCCATCAGAGATGTGGGGGTAGCGCCTACCTTGTGCATGAATTGTGGGTGAAAATGCTGATATGCATGCACCTGTGAGGCTTTGATTACTCCCCTCCCCTCCCCCCCCCCCCCCCCCCCCCCCCCCCCCGCAACTAGAACATTTTCTGTTCACAGTAATGAGGAATTTGATGCCTGTGCTGCACTTTTAGCCTTTGAGGGCATTGCATCCACTCCTGTCTGTCTCCACTGCCACTCCTCCCACAGTTTGACCACCACTAATTTCTCATAGAATACTGCAGCAGCCTAGTAAATAAGTTGTTCTACTCTCACGTTGCTTTCCTCCAGTCTGTCCTGAAACCTGCCACAAAGTAATCTTTCTAAAACAAAAATAGGATCCTGTTTTCTAGGCAGAAGCCAAGCTTGTTAACTTGCTTTATATGACCCTTTGCAACCTGGCTGCTGCTCATCTCTCCTTCCCTTACTGCATTCAGCTGCTAACTCATGAAGCTGCCTCTTAGCCTCCAGAGGATGGAGGGTGGGGATGATAGCTCCTCTGCCTGCATCTTTTCGATCGATTCATCCACCTTTTGCCCAGTCAGATAGCACTAACCTTTTAGGTTTTCATTTGGATGTTATTTTCCTCTAGGAAACCTTACCTGATATTTTTTGCTGTATAGTTTGGATCAGGCATCCTCTCTCCTGTCTCCCCACCCTGCCCCCAACTGCCCAAGCACCCTTCATCTCCCATTGTAATAATGGTGACATGAAACTGCAATTGCCTGGGTTGTTTATGGAAATGTTCTAAGTGCCCATCCCAGAGTCTGGCACCTGACTCTCCCTAAGTGTCAGTGGGTGAACCAATGAATGAGACACAGAGAGCTGGTTTATTTGCCGCCAGTCATATATTTACATTGTGTTAATGGTGTCTGCCAGGTTATAATTGACCTTGTCTTTTATTTTCTTAACAGACAGAGATGTGAGCAGCGGAAGTTATAACCTTTCCTCTGCAACAACGGGCAGCTACTACAGTTGTGTCAGCCAGGTCACCATAGGTGAGCACTTGTGTTATTTTGATTTATAAAAAAATATTATTGTCTGGAAAAGCTAGTGGTCAAAGGAGCCGCTGGGGAAGGAGAGGAGAGAAAATATAAATGAATAGACATTTATTTTCAGAATCGGAGCAATTGCTTGTGGATTCACCTTTCTGGAACGCCCTCTTGTGGATTTTTACTGCTTTTGCATGGAATTAGATGGAGGAAGTGTCATCTCTTTTTTCCAGATCTTCATTATTTGCTTTAACCCTTTCGTTCATGTAGCAACTGTACTGTTACGCACTTGATAGTATAATTGAGTTACATTTTAAAGATTTATACTAATCTATTTTTAAAAGAAATTGTGTAAGTGCAAATTGAAAATGTGTAGTGAAAGTCTACTCTTTGCTTTTTGGAGAACATGCTAAGCAAGTGTTAGAGTGATGCTGAATATCAAAGTGACACTCTCTCCTTGTTATGCTCACTCAACCTTAAACACGGGTTACGTTGGTCAAAAGTAGAAGAGTGACCCGCACCATTTTTATTTTGGTTGGGTCCTTCCTCCCCTTTCTATTTCCTTTCAAAACTTTCTTGATTCTAGAATATTGGGCAGTGACTTAGAGATCAGAAAAGAAAACTGAAGATTATAGTTACAGCTTCTGTTTGTTTTGTACTTATTACCTGCCAGCTTCTCTTGGCTCCCTGCATTCATTATTTTATTTAATCACAACTCTGTGAGGAAGTTACTGTTATTTCTCCATTTTACAGATGAGGAAACTTGCGCCTTGCCACCCAGCTAGAAATTAATTACCCAAGATTTCAATTTAGGTCTGTTTGACACTAAAGCCCAAGCTCTTAAACCCTATGCCATGATTTCTCAAACTCCAGCAATGTGGATGCCTATACAAAGCATTAATGATGAACCTCTAAAATGGATTTAAGTTATTTTTATTATGAGATTACTTAAGTACGTTCAAACGTAGAACTTCCTTGTATTCCAAATAGCCATTAAAATTGATTTTGCAAATCAGATTTAACATTCTGTAACCCAAATAAAAATACAAATTTACCACACTAATTTAATATGATGTATGTTGTTATTTTGCTGAAATGCAGTCACTTTTTGTAATGCAATATGGTACTGGCTGCAGTGATGTTGGTTCTTCAAGTTCAGTACAGTTTTACTGCTAGGTACTTCGCGATGACTATGCATTGCTGCCACCTTTTTGAGTTCAACCCCCTGTGAAATCTCTGTTAATGCTCACTTAGGTTATCAGATCTTCATTTGGCATGAATGTAACTTGGGATATCCATCTCTCCCCTTTTCTCATTCATAGTACTGATTGGTGCCAAACCTGATGGAAATACAAAAGTAAACCCAGGCATTAAAATTAAGTGGCAGGACTTGGTCCAGAATATGCTAATATTATCTTTTAAATGAAAAACAGAGACAGTTTAAAAATTCTCATGGAGACCTCGTAGACTCTGGTTTGAAAACACTGAGTAACCTAAAATGCCTTTCACAGAGACATTAGACATTGGACATTAACTAAGTCAGAGGAGGTCTTTTGGGATTCAGAGTAGGAGGCTGATGAGATGAATGTATGGATGAGAGAAGATTATTCTGGTGGTGAACAGGATAAAGTTCATGTGGGAGAATCTGGTATCATAACAGAGTTAGTGGCCATGACTGTGGTCTTGACATGAGACAGAAATAAACTAGGGAGGTGGATTGAAGAGGCAGGTCTGCGGGGAGAGGGATGGAATTGCTGGCAGGACTAGTCATTGACTGGATGTGGGGACAGTAAGTGTTCCCTGTGATTTTTGCATCAGGGTAACAGAGTCTGAGCTGTTTCCAGGAATGTGGAAGTCAAAAAGAGGCTGTGATGGTGATAGGTTAGATGTGTTGATTTGATATGCCCACAAGACAGTCCTCACCTCAGAATGTCTCATGGGAAATTAGAAATATGGAGAAAATGTTCAAGAGATGAAGATATTAGCACTATCTGCACAGAGAGTTCAGTAGAATCTTTGGAAGAAGATGAGATAATAAGAGTGAGAATTAGTACACTGTGTGTGTGGAGGACCAAGGACCAATCTTTGGGGGAAGCACAATGAGGGTAGAAATAATGACAGAGGTAAGAGAACCAAGCAAGCACCTTTCTTGGAAAGCCCAGAGAACCTTCTAGAAGGACAGACTGAGGAGGCTGAATATTAAAGTCTGCCTTGGTGACATCCTGAGAGCCACGTAAGTGGGTGGTGGGATCGAAGCCACATTGCAGAGCTCTGAATAGGGAGGGGAGGGCTGTGAGTAGAGACTTCTCTTTTAAGGCACTTTTCAGTGATGATGGAGCGGTATATAGTGTGAGGGTGATTAAGTAGCTAACGAACACTTTTGGGGAGCTTTCTTTTTGCCAGGCATTGTGTTCTAACTACTTTTTCTATATTCACTCATCCTCAAAAAGATTCTGAGGTAAACTGTTATTTCCCCCATTTTATAAACGAGGAAATGGAGTTCCTGAGAGGGTGAAGAGTGGCCTAAGGATACATGAGAGTAAGACCTGGGATTTGAGTCCAGGTCATTGGGCTCCTATTGGATGAGACTCTTGTTAACCTGACATCTTGTGGACTTGGGCCAAGTGCCCTTCCTGGTCCAGTCAGCTGTAGCTACCATGTCAGGGTGTTGGTTTGAAATGTATCCCCCACAAAAGGTACTTTGAAGTTCGAATCACCAGTCCCTGTGATTGTGACTGTATTTGGAAATAGGGTCTTTTCAGATGTAATTGAGTTAAGATGAGGTCATTTGGACTAGAGTGTATCCTAATCCAATGTGACAAGTGTCCTTACAAGAAGGGAAGAGACACAGAGACCATACAGGGACAGCTGTGTGAAAGCAGAGGCAGAGATATGAGTGATGAATCTCCAAGCCAAGAAACACCCTGGATTTCTGGCAACAACAGAAGCCTGGAGAGAGGTGTGGAACAGATTCTTTTCTAGATCCTTCAGAGATACAGCCCTGCTGACACCTTATTTTGGACTCATAGCCCCCAGAAAAATAAGTTTCTGTTGTTTTAAGGCACCCAGTTTGTGGTACTTTGTCACAGGAGCCCTAGATATCTAACCTCTGAAGGGGAGGTAGGTGTGACAGATGCTCACTTCCCAGAAGGTGCTGGCAACTAGAAGGCTCTTGAATACTGCTTCAGTTCCCTGGCTCAGATTGGCCAAAATGATAGGAAATTTATTATGTCACGTAACAGGGACACCAGAGGCAGGCTTGTCTTTAGGATGGGTTGATTAAGCTGCTCAATGACATTGTGAAAGACCTTCTCCCCTGTGCCTTCCTCTCTCAATTTATCTTCGTGGTGGCAGTCACATGGTTGCAGAGTTTCAAGAATTGGATTCAGACATGACAGTGATCAGAGGGAAAGGAACTTTGGTGCCCTCCTCAGGCCTTTGCTTGAGGAGCTGAGAAACTTTCCTGCGAAGCTCCTTGATAGATTCCTCCTGTCTCATTGGGCAGGGCTGTGTCCCACCGCCATCCATGAGCCAGTCATTGACAAGGGAGATGGCATTATCATGAGCCCTATCAGGCCCTCATGAGGCTTTGGACAGGAATGAGGATGGGAATAAGGGCCACCTGTCCTGGGTCATAAGGCTGTATGGGGTGGGACAGATTCCCAAATGAAGTTGTGGCTCTGTTGGGAGGCAGAAGTTGAATGATTCTGCATAGGCAAGAGGCAACGTCCACTGCTCACAGTCTGTTCAGTGCAAAGCACTTTTGCAATATGTATACTAAGAACAAAAATAATAACCTTAGCCAGGTGCAGTGGCTCACACCTGTAATCCCAGCACTTTGGGAGGCCGAGGCTGGTGGAATAGCCTAACCAACAAGGAGAAACCCAGTCTCTACTAAAAATACAAAATTAGCCGGGTGTGGTGGTGCATGGCTGTAATCCCAGCTACTCTGGAGGCTGAGGCAGGAGAATCTCTTGAACCCAGGAGGTAGAGGTTGTGGTGAGACAAGATCACGCCATTGCACTCCAGCCTGGGCAAAAGAGTGAAACTCTGTCTCAAAATAAATAAATAAATACAATAAAAATAATAATCTTAGACTCAAAGAACTAGAGGGAGGACAGATCTCTGGATCATCCAAGAGTTCTTTTCTAAAATGTCCTTCATTTCTTTCATTTCTTGTACTTGAGTCCTTCTCTTACAGAATAGTCATCTCACACAGAAGTGTCACATTTGTGAGGGTGTTCCATTTAGGAAAATAGCACGTGTGTGGATTTCCTAGTAATGCAGTTCCTAGGTGAACCTATGTCTTGTCCAAAGCAGTGGAGTCAAAAACTCCAGGGAACAGAAAAAGGACTCCTAAAACGATTCTATTTATCCATGAGATACTTGATTAGTTCCTTATTTTCTAATAGCAAATTCCCATTTTACCCATGAATGAGAGATTTAAGAACCACATAGTTAACATCATTTTTTCTCAAGACAGCTTACAATTTTGGGCATTCCTTCCATCTCTTTCTTCACAATTTTGGGTCTAGTGGGAATTGAGACCCCTGTTCCTGCCCTCCTCTCTAAAAGGGGACATGATGGTGGGTGAGGGAGGATGGGCAGGCTATCAGTGCTGCCAACGTGACCTTCCTATTCCTTGCTCCTTGGATGTCAGTTGTTCCCCTGGATGGTTGTCTCTTCAAAAATACTGTGGCTTCATTCTTGCTCTTAAATTGAGGCTCATCTATTTATATTTCATCATAGTTATGCAGATCTTGTCATAGCTCATTTATAGCAATAATGCCGATTAAAATATTTGCTAATGAACTCCATTTTCAGAGTAAATGATGTAGAAATATCCTAAACAAAGAAGACTTAGCTGTGTGAACTATACTTCTTCAAAATTAAGTGTATGCTGTAAAATAGCTATAATTTTATATAATAAATGGTAAAACCTGAAATCTTAGAGAGTCCAAAGTTCCTTAGAGACTTTTTATTTTTTTGGGGAAAAATAACATATATTTATTTATTTAAGCATTTATGATGAATCAGATACTATATATTTATACATTTAACTACATATATTTAAGGTGCACAACATGTCTTGATGTACATAGTGAAATGATTACTACAGTCAAGCAACTTGACATAACCATCATCACAGTTACCTTTTTTTAATGTGTGTGGTAAGAGCACCTAAAATCTACTGTGTTAGCAAGTTTCCAGATCACACGATATGAAGTAATTAACCCTAGTTCTCATGCTGTATATTAAATCTTTAGACTTATTTATGTTACAAACTTAATTACAACTGGTAATTTTTTACCTACATCTTCTGATCCTCCCTGCTGTTGGTAATTGCTGGTCTACTCTTTGTGTGTGTATATATGTATATGTATATACATACATATATACATACATATATATGTATATGTATGTATGTATATGTCAAGAGTTCATGTGTAAGTGAGATCATACAGTCATTTTCTGTTATTTCACTTAGCATAGTGATCCCCAAGTTCATCCAAATTTATGTTACCTTCCCCATGTCCCAGATCCTATACCTAGAAGGGCTCTCTCCCCTGAACTCCTAAAGAGCACTTTCTGATTTACTTTAAAACTATTTCTTTCATCTTGCTTGTACTGTGGTTAGTTGTCGTTTGTGGGAAAGAACATAGATTTTGGAGTCAAAACTGTTTATGTTCTGCCTCTGGAACTCGATGTAGGGCAGGTTGAGGTCCAGTTTTCTCATCTGTAAAACTGAAATAGTAATAGTCCCCTTGTACCATTTCTGTGAGGATTCAAGATCAGTTATGCAAAGTTTCTGGCTTATAGTAGGCCTTTAATAATTTTTTATTATGAACATAGGTCTTATCTCCTTTATTGGACTCTAAGCTCCTTGAAGGCAGAGTGGGCACTTATCATGTGCTTAATAAACATAAGTCGATTAAGTGAACAAGAGCCATCAAGAGGGATGATGCCCGCCTGTTTATTATGAACATGCATTCTTATCTCAAGTGGCATTTGGTTTGCCTAACAGCTAAGATTCTGGGGAAATTTAAAAATAAGCACATTATAAGGCTTTAATTGCTGCCACTTACCTAGTGTGTTTATCTCACCAGGTTATGATGTTGCTGGGCCTGTTGCAATTGGGCTAACCCACTGGAAAAATCCCTATGTACAAGGCAGACCCACCCTCCCATCAGATCTGCCTCTCTTCGTCTCCAAAGATGCAGGCATCCCTGTATACCACCGATCCTTCACCCGCAAGACTGACCAGGCCACGCCTTTGTCCTGTCCAGCCTCACTGTCTATCACTCCAGTGCCTTCTTACAGCAGTAGCAGCCAGGAAACC